GTTCCTTATAGATTCTGGATATTAACCCTTTATCTGATATGTCATTTGCAACTATCTTTTCCTATTCCGTTGGTTGCCTATTAGTTTTCTGGGTTGTTTCCTTGGCTGTGCAGAAGCTTTTAATCTTGATGAGGTCCCAATCGTTTATTTTTGCTCTTGATTCCCTTGCTTTTGGGGATGTGTCAAGTAAGAAGTTGCTGCGATAGAGGTCAAGGAGGTTGTTTCTTGCTTTCTCCCCTAGGGTGTTGATAGTTTCCTGTCTCACGTTCAGGTCCAAAGGAGTTTATTTCTTAAAAGTGGGGCGAAATCTTAAATTTTAAGGGAAAAGTTTACAAATTAGTGCAAGCATTTTTTTTTAATATTCAAACCTTGCTCTTCTATTTCTTCCTATTGTTTTCATTTCAGCAAAGTCTACACTAAACCTATGCCCTAATAACTGGCTGCAGAAAAAAGGGAAGTGCTATAATTTCTTAAAAACCTTTAAATCATGGACCGATAGCCAAACATCCTGTTTAATGATGAAATCAAATCTCTTGATGATCCAAGACATGGCTGAACTGGTAAGAGCTAATTTGCCAGGAACATTAGCCTTTCTAAAACTGAGAGAAACAAATAATTTTTTTTAAAAAAATGTGTTAATGTTTATTTTTGAAAGAGAGACAGAGACAGAGCGTGAGCAAGGGAGGGACAGAGAGAGAGGGAGACGCAGAATCAGAAAAGGTCTCCAGGCTCTGAGCTCTCAGCACAGTGCCAGACATGGGTCTCAAACTCACGATCTGTGACCTGAGCCGAATCTGTGACCTAAGCAGATGCTTAACTGACTAAGCCACCCAGGTGCCCCAAAATTAAATTTTATAATGCGTTATAAATGATATTTATTATATTTATTTATATATATGATTTATATTTATCATATTATAGATAATAAATATATTTTATATTTATTATAGATTACAAAGGAATTATAGTGCTGATAATCACACCCACTTATTAAATTCCTAGTAGATACCAGGCACTGGGGTAGGCATGCCACAAATTTTATAAAACTTAGTGCTAACAATAACTTTATGAAACAGGCAGTATTTTACATTCTCATAAGAAGAATCTGCTGAACTTGACAGGTTGATTAACAATACTATTTCACTTGTAAATGGCAAAGCTGGGATATCAATACTTTCACATTATTTTGTGGGGAGAAAGATACAAGCTCTTTGAACATTGTCAGTATCTGGCGATCTCCCTAGGGTCTTGGGTAGGAAAAATGGGCTCCACGGTTTTGTTCGTGTGTAGTTTTACCATAGGCACCCATTTTTGCCAAGACTGCCTGTGGGCAAAGCAATCTGTGGATAGCAGGTGCTCCTGTAAGCAGACCAAGTCCTTCATAGGTTTGCCTTCACATCCTCTTTCTGCTCCCTCGGCAGTTGGCTTTCACATCATCATGCCCATGAATTGCATTCAGCAGCACATGCCTGCACAGAATATATGTAAGAACCATGTGATTTTGAAATCTTCCTACATCAGTTTCCTTCCCTAAATATTTAGGAAACTTCTTCAGGCTTCTTAAGCCTTAACCCTTTCCTGAATAGGGAGATAAATATCAAAACTTTCTCAAGTCTGGACAAAAATCAGAAAAGCCTATTTTACCAGGTTTAACTTGGGTTTAACTCCGTTGCCTCTGGGTCTTCTTTCATAGGATTTCATACAGAGTAATATACCAGATGGAATTTACTTCTGGATTGGATTGAACATCACACACCCACAAAAGATATGGACCTTGCTGGATGGCACCCCCTTAACTCTACGGTTGTGAGTATTTGGCATTTGAGTCTCTCAGCAGCCGATCCTTGCTGGGCTGCCTGGCTGAAACTCCAGATTGTCAGATGGTTCCCATAGATCCAAGACTTTGATCTTTGTTAATGTTTGAGTGATTAAGAAATTTGTCTTAAAGAAAGAAAGCTAATTTGGGCTAATTTGCTTATTTGAGCTATCTTTAAATTTTTTTTTTAACATTTATTTATTTTTGAAAGATAGAGAAAGACAGAGCCTGAGCAGGTAGGGGCAGAGAAAAAGAGGGAGACACAGAATCTGAAGCAGGCTCCAGGCTCTGAGCTGTCAGCACAGAGCCTGATGCAGGGCTCGAACTCACAGACCGCGGGATTGTGACCTGAGCTGAAGTCAGATGCTTAACCGACTGAGCCACCCAGGGGCCCCTGAGTTGTCTTTTAGTTTACCCATAATGTTCGAGGTATAAATGGAAAATTGTAATTAACATAAAATTCTCTAAATTTCATATCTTTTGAAGTGTTTCTTAAAAGCTTACAAAACAATCCTTATTTTAAGTTGTAAGAAGACTTCAATTATTGTGAAATATTAAGGAATATGCTATGCATAATACAACAAATAGCCACTTGACTCTGTTCTAATACTGTCACCAATCAACAGTCTGTGTAGCTACTTTCTGCTTACATTCCATTCATTCAGCTTAACTCATTCTATTCATTCATTTCTGCTTAAATTCCATGGGGAGAGAGTGCTAAAATCTTTGGGAGGTAGGCGCTAATCCCCAAAACACAGACAGAAGCTTCTGGGGGTCCAGGGTAAAACTTGCTACGTTCACCATCAAGGTTTCAGGGATCATCAAAAGTTAATTTTGCTTCTTGAAAATTTGGAATTTTGTTGTGTCTCTCAAAGACATGCGAAGTGAAGGAGGTTTAGGAAGACTGTAGAGGGTCTGGAGTGGTAGAGCAGGACCCCAGACTGGCTGAGGGGCAGTAAAAAAGTGCTCTGAAACAGAAAGTCACCCTGCAAATGAGTACTTACCCAAAGACTATGATATTTCTTTTAGAATTTGTACTCCATCCCCACCCATAACATACTGTCTGTAAATCACACTAAAATAATTTTAAAGCTTGATCTTTATTTCTAATAGAAATCTATCACCATGTTTTTACAGTGATGCTCTGTCAACCCACTTGCAAACTGGCTCAGAATTATTAATTTGCCCATCTTATTTTTTAATTGAAGGTTTTTGTCTTATTTTTTATTTTTATTTTTTAATTTTTAAAAAAAATTTAAAAATGTTTGTTTATTTTTGAAGGAGAGAGAGAGACACCAAGCGTAAGTAGGGAAGGGGCAGAGAGAGAGGGGGACACAGAATCTGAAGCAGGATCCAGGCTCTGAGCTGTCAGCACAGAGCCCGATGTAGGGCTCGAACTCACAGACTGCAAGATCATGACCTGAGCCGAAGTCGGATGTTTAACCGACTGAGTCACCCAGGCACCCCTTGGTCTGATTTTTCAGATTCCTTATGGCTTATTTGTCAATGACAAGAAAGGTTGCCTTAAATATCATGGAAAAAAAGAATTTAGGAGAATTTTCCTTCTTTCATGTAAAGAGTAAAAAATTGGGGTATACCCATATTTACACAGATGAGCAGAAATTCTCTTGCTGAGGTGTTTGTGTGAGTTTAAAACATCTAAAAATGGGGAGGCCTTCTTCTCTGCTGCTCACCCTAACCTTCACTCCTTTCTCCCTTCTGTCTGGGGGTCACATTTAACATGAAAAGTATAGAGGCGCCAAAGAATATTTCTCTTTTTAGGATCCTCTGTAAAAACCAGGACACTTAATTATAGGCAAACAGTGAAGGAAGACTTTTGAGAGGTGTGATACTTGGGATTTGGGTCTGGAAAATGAAAAGGGTAACAGTTTAACTTTCTTCAGGAAGTCAGTTTATTACTTTCTGAAAAGCATGCATATTTTTAGATGTGTTGATATTTCTAAAGCTTAGAATGATACATATGAGATTTGTCTGTTATAAAGGGGATATCATTCCATTGTTGCAGATACTCAAGAAGTGGAATCTGGAGTCTTTCGAATAATAAAATGAATTTTTCTCCTAAAAGGACGGGATTGTCCTCTGTCTTAGTCCATTTAATACCACAGACTGAGTAGCTTACAAGCAACAGAAATTCATTTCTCACCGTTCTGAAAAATGGGATTTCAAGATCAAAATGTCAGCATGGTCATGTCTGGGTTAGGGCCCTCTTCTTGGTTCATAGCCACATCCCATCCACCACATGGTGGAAGGGACTAAGGATCTCTCTGTAGTCTCTTTTATGAGGAACTAATGAGAGTTCCACCTCATAACTGAAGCACCTTCTGAAGGTCCCACTTCCTAATACATCACTTTAATGGTTAGGATTCTAACATAGGAATTTTGAGGAGGCCCCAACATTCAGACCATGCAGGTAACAGCCTTCTAAAGATCTTAATTTTTTTGAATGATGGCACGGCATTGGGAAGCCAGTGTTTCTTACTCACATTTTTATTTTTATTTTAATTCCATGCAGCATTTCCATTGACAAATGGCCATTTTTGGCTAAGAAACTATTTGGAACAACTACCTTCAATAAAGGTGTCATTTTTTAATGGGTGCTCCTTGTCTGAAAATTCCAGAGTCTTAGATCTCCAGCTTGGAGAGCACGTGCCTCCTAAGTCAGGAAGTAAACATACAAAATGTCACGGTTATGGTTTTAGCAGAATGGGAACAGAATGTTGCTTTTTCATCTACAGATTTCAAGTCATGGGCCACATTGAAGAGGACACCTGTGCTGTGATAACAAAGAAGGGTGTGTTTTCCGAAAAGTGTTGCAATCAGAGTTACTGGATTTGTCAACATGTGATTTCTTCAGACAATGACTTCTAAACTGATTACAGTTTATCTTTCCCATAAAAAAATTTGCCAAGTCCTTTTTTATTTATGTAGTTTTGGAGAAGTACATTATTTTTACAACAAATATTGTGGTGGTGATGAGGAGGAGGAGGAGGATGGTGTAGATTTGTGTCACTATAACTCTGAGCAATCAGCCTTAGCTCATTCCTTATCACCTTGTCACTGGTGCTGTAATTCCACAGTCATCCCTCATTCATCATAGTGGCTCTTTAAATTTTTTTTAATGTTTATTTATTTTTTAGAGAGAGAGAGAAAGTGAAGGAGGGTGAGAGAGAGAGGGAGACAGAATCCAAAGACAGGCTCCAGGCTCTGAGCTGTCAGCACAGAGTGGAGCTCAAACTCATTGACCTCGAGATCATTACCTGAGCCGAAGTCGGACACTTAACCGACTGAGCCACCCTGGCGTCCCATAGAGGCTCTTCTAGACAGAAGTCTTTGTGTTTTCATCTCCTCAACAATTCTCTCCCTACAGCTCTCATTCACCATTAGCAAGGGAGATACTTTTTTTTTTTTTTTTTTTTTTTTTTAAAGAGAAGCCATCAGATGATATATTTAGGAACTTTCCACCACTGAGTCTACACTATTGTCTGCATCTTACTGATTTCTCTTTTTTCTCCTCCTATTTCCAAAAAAAGGGTATTCCTCTGTCTGTCTAAATCAAATTTCAAAGTCTATGGTTGGGGTTGCATCTCTTTTCATTTTTTCAAAGAGATTCCTTCCTTCATCACCTCCACTCCTACCTTCTCTCTTCTTATGCCTCCTTTTCTTTTGGCGATGGAAATGCAAGAACACAAGAAAATTTTCCCTGAACCACTTGTGGCTTCCAGTTTCCACCTAGTTTCTCCCACCTGTTTTAAGTCAAACTTCCTAGAAATTGTTTATACTTGCTCTTTCCTCTTTTCACCTCCCACTCCAGGTTCTTCTAAAATCTGGTTTCTGTTTTTCCTACTATTTCTCGAAAGTGTTCTCATCACGTCATGAATGCCTTCCTTCTGGCTAAACACAATGAGGACTTTGTAGCTTTCCTCTTTACTTTCAGCGGTGTTGCTCATTACTGACCTATCCTTTCTTCTAGAAATATCCTCTGACCTTGGCATCTATGACACAATGCTCTCTTGAACCGCAATCCACCCTCCTTGCCATTGCTCTTCAGTATTTTTCTGAATCATTTCTTCTCTCCTCAGATCTCTTAAATACTGACATTCCTTGGAGTTTTGCACGAATTGTCTATTGTACACAATTCTTGGCTAAACTCACCCACTCTGTAAGTTCAGTTGTCCTCAATTTATTGATGACTCCCAAGCCCAGATTTCTCACCCAGACCTTCTAACCCAGCGGATTGCCCACTGGACATCTCAAAGCCCCTCAGTCTTCCCGTGTTAAAAACTAAACTCATTAGTTTAGTAAATGGCAGCAATGTGCCCATTAGTCTAAGCCAGAGACGTTGGAGTCAACCATGACTTTGTTTTCTTTTTACCCTCGACATTCACTCATTTACATCCCATCAGTTTTACTACAGAATTATTTGTGAATCCATCTGCATATCTTCATACCACCCTACTGTCCTCACTTCCCGCAGCCGTCCTTTTGTCTGCTTTTAGCTTTGTCTGCCGAAGTCCATTCTCTATTCATGATCATAGCAATTGTCTGAACCTCCCATCAGATCACATTACTCATTATTTAATTTCCTTTAGGGACTTTGCATTGCTTAAACATTTAATTGTCTCTTACCAGAACCTGTATGTCCTGGCTCTGCTTCATTCCTCTCCCACTGCCGTCCTTGTAAATGATGCAGACACGCTAAACTGGGTTCACATTCTCAACTGTGTCAAGCTTTCTTTTGCTTCTAATATACTCATGTCTGCCTCAACTTACCATCCTTCCCTTTCTTACTTGCCTGCTTAACTCTTGCCTATTGTTCAGATGGCTACATAAACACCACTGGGTGGAAAATATTTCCGTAACCATTCTCTGCTCCAGACTAAATTATGTGCACCTGATGTATATTTTCATAGTTTCCTGTACTTATCTAATCCTAATATTTGATACAGTATTCTTAGACCATTATTTATTT